CCCGCCTCCGGGCACCAACGGGACCTTCAACGACAGCAGTGCCGGGCCGGGCTGGGGCACACCGTACCCCCTGCACACCACCGTCACCCTCATCAGCCTGGCGGGCTTGCTCATGCTCTTCACCGTCTTTGGCAACGTCCTGGTCATCATCGCTGTCTTCACCAGCCGGGCGCTCAAGGCCCCCCAAAACCTCTTCCTGGTCTCCTTAGCCTCGGCCGACATCCTGGTGGCCACACTGGTCATCCCCTTCTCCTTGGCAAACGAGGTGATGGGGTACTGGTACTTCGGCAAAGTCTGGTGTGAGATCTACCTGGCCTTGGATGTGCTGTTCTGCACCTCCTCTATCGTGCACTTGTGTGCCATCAGCCTGGACCGTTACTGGTCCATCACACAAGCCATCGAGTACAACCTCAAGCGTACCCCGCGCCGCATCAAGTGCATCATCTTCATCGTCTGGGTCATCTCGGCCGTCATCTCCTTCCCGCCACTCATCTCGATCGAGAAGAAGAGCGGGCAGCAGGCTGACCAAGGGGTGGCAGGATGCAAGATCAACGATGAGAAGTGGTACATCATCTCTTCTAGCATCGGCTCCTTCTTTGCCCCCTGCCTCATCATGATCCTGGTCTACATGCGCATCTACCAGATAGCCAAGAGGCGAACCAGGGTACCGCCAAACAAGCGGGCAGAGCGCCCTGAGAAGAGGCAGAACGGCTTTGGCAAAAAAGCTCAATGGAGAGAAGGCAGCAGGAGGAGCCGTCGGGCAGGAGGGAGAGGTCAATGGCATAGACATGGAGGAGACCTCTTCCTCCGAGCATCAGGAGAACAACCAGTGTAAGAAGTCAGAGAGACTGTCAAGGGGAAAGACCAAGACTAAGCTGAGCCAGATTAAGCCTGGGGACAGTTTGCCCAGGAAGACAGAGGAGGAGAGGATCACCAAAGGGTCCCGGTGGAGGGGCAGGCAGAACCGGGAGAAGCGCTTCACCTTTGTGCTGGCGGTGGTGATTGGGGTCTTTGTCATCTGCTGGTTCCCCTTCTTCTTCACCTACACGCTGACGGCTGTCTGCAAGAGCTGCTCTGTGCCCGACACCCTCTTCAAATTCTTCTTCTGGTTTGGTTACTGCAATAGCTCCTTGAACCCCGTCATCTATACCATTTTCAACCACGACTTCAGACGGGCCTTCAAAAGGATCCTCTGCAGGATAGAGAGGAAAAGGATTGTTTGAAGGACCCTTTGCTATAGGCAGGACTAATTCAAGACTTTGTAGGAGAGTAAGGCATGGCTCTCTTGGGCTGTGCTTGCATGGGATGGTTTCCTTCAGCTCACGAGCAGGAAGCCTTTAAAACCCGAGATGAGCCTATGGAAACGCCGGGCAGCAGCAGCGAGAAGCAGCAGGCAAGTGGAAGTCTGAGCCGTAGCATTTGGCTTTCCAGGGGAGGATGGCTTTTAACTTGCTTGGTTTATTTTGTTAGTTTTTTTTCTTTTGCCAGAATCTCTCAGTGGATGTTTTTATGACTGCTCAGTTTGACTCTTTAAAGACAAGCAATGTGCAGCTCTGTGAGATGGACAACAAAGAGGGAGTATGCCACCCCAGAGGTGTCGGCTTTTTTATTTTGTTGTATCTTTTTTTTCCTGTTGTATATGTAATTAATTTTAACCCCCATGTAAAAAACAGTATTGTATCCCTGAATCTGAATGTCTTAATTTTTGTAAGGCAAGCAGCTTTGAAACTGTGAATGCTTTAATTATCTTTGACACCTTAAAAGTCCTTCTCTTCCCACCCTTGAAGCCTCCCTCACTGGAAACCGCTGAACAACTAGAGCCATTCCCCCCACCTGACAGTTTGATAATATTACCACAATTTCCAATGTCTGGTCATTTTTTTTGGCTATAAAGCCTAGGATCACAGACCTCGCCAGACTGACTATTCTTGTTGTTATTTTTTATATCGTACCCGATTTGTTTAATTTCTGTGTTGCCCGTGATATAGTACAGCTGAGATGGTGACTGTCCTCTCATTATTCATTAAAGCAGACCCGGACGGAGCGGTGGCTTTGCTGTGCAGGCAGGGACGTCCCGGGCGGTGGAGTGACAGGCTATTTCCCATGCAACGTGAGGCTTGGGACCCGGCCAAGCTCCCCACGAATTAATCTCGGTTGGTATTATACCACGCTGCAGCACCGAAATGTGTTCGATGCTAACTCGCTTCCCCCGCCTCCAGCTGTAAATAGATAATATTTCAAAGCAAATAGCAGGGCTCCGTATATCATGTTATCTCATTTGTATTGATTTGTGATGGTTTAACTCCTGCGGGATTTCCTGCAGCAGAGGAGGGGGTTTGTGCACAGAGGCTGTTCCACCTTTCTGAGTTAAGGGAGAAGAGTTCAGTTTTTAATCTGCCAGTCTCATCTTTTCTAGGAAATACAAAAGCATCCCTCTTTCAGTCTTATACAGGGCAAAACTCCGAAAGGGGAAACTTAACTGACAGTTTCTCCAGTATTTTATAATGTAATTAAGCTTTTTTTTTTTAAAAAAAAGAAATGTGTAAATATTGTGAGATTGGAGCAGGAGAGAGAGTTAATACTGCTTTTACACTCCTTTCCTGAAATGTCTTTCAGCTCTTTCTGCTAAAAAAAAAAATACAAAAATGGACAGAACAAATCTAATGTCCTTGTGCCATGAAGAAACTTCTGGAGAATACTAAAAGGAAAAGCTTTTGATCCATCACAGTAAATGAGTCTGCAAGCCTATTAATGTTATGAAAACAGCTTTATCAAATACTGGCAAGTCATAGAAATTGTTTGGAGCAAGCAAAGTTTGTGTCATTCTCGTGTATAAGATGAATTTGCCTTCTCTGGAGTCGTATGGTGCATAGGAAGAGACTTTTAAAAAAAAACTTTTCACTTTTGGGAAGTGTTTTGTTGATTTTGCTCTCTCTTTTGACTTTGTAATTAACTCCAAGGGTCCCCGGATGCATCTTGGGACCTGGAGAGCAATGTTTACATTCACTTGCATTTTCAGAATTGAATCCTCAAGAGGTGAGGAAAGCAAATAAACTGTGCTTTACTGTAAAAAAAAAAAAAAAAAAAAACCAACCACGAGCAGAAGTTGCTATAATGGATGATTATTTTTATTAAATAAAAGAGTGTTTACAGATCAAGTGTGAAAACCTTCTGGATAATCTGTTAGCTGTTTTATTTTATTTTTCTTTTCCAGCTGTTCACCGATCCTCCAGCAGCTTTGGTCTTGACATTTTTTAAAGAACACGTTGGGAAAAGCACTCGTGCTTTCTGAAAGGCGTTGTTACCCCAGGTAGGGAACAATGGCTCGGTTCATTGCGCAGTGGCATAATAACAAATGAGTCCTTGATGTTTCGTGGGGTTTTTTTTCCCCCACTTTCATGCCACAGTAAGAGCATTCACGTGTTTCTTAAAGAAAAGAGCTTAGGGTTTCAGGGTGTGATTTGCTCCCTGGAAAAGCAGCCTGGCACTATTGCTGGGGACGCCTGGCTGGTGCAGCATTTACAGCTATTGAGTTGAGAAGGTTTTTAATAATTAGGTTGCAGATGGGATTAGAAATGATTCGGCTGGAAGGCAATTTTTCTTGATACATGCAGGACTGTCCATCCGAGTGGGGCTTTGTTTCCAGCCCCCGAGAGCCAGCCGGCCGGGCTCGCTTGCTCTTATACCAGTGCTGCCGAGACCCTCCCTGCGGGAGGGTGATGGGGGATGGTTCTCCCACCAAAAGAAGCGCTGCGTCTCTGTTGCTACCTGCCTCCCTGAGGACACCGGGGTCCACTCGCCATCAGCTTCAGCTGGGCTCCTTCTTTGCCACGAGTGCCAGGTAGCTCCGAAGGCGGGGGGGACATGAGGCGCTGATCCTAAGTGCTTTAGTGTGTGCTTCGTTTTGGCCAGCAGCACATGTAACCGTTTGCGAGCTCTGGCTCCTGGTCTTCCCACTGTTGGGATGCCTGGAGTCACCCTGCTTCCCTGCTCTGCTTCTTGTTCGGTGGGAAAATAAGTGACCAGAGCCCAGTGCTGGAGCTGCTGGTCTCGCGGCCCCACTCTCCCTCTGCCACTGCCACCAAGGTTGCAGCTGGAGGTGCTCAGCAAGCCGGGAGGTGGACCAGGGCTGGCAAGCAGCATCGCTGCTGCGTCTAGGGCACCCGCTGATGGCCGAGAGGTGAACCTCTTGGTCACCTTGTGGTGGCCTTTGCAGGCCAGGAGGGCTTGATCTGGGCAGAGTGTCCTGCTGTCCGTCCTCTGGTCTCAGCTGGCCCTGTTAGCCTTGGAGGCTTTTACAAAGCAGACCCTGGGGGCAGGAGGTAGTGCAGCAGCCATCGGTTATGCTTGCCCCATCCCTCTGGCTGTCTGATGTCCCCATGGCCGAACCTCCAGTACAGATAGTAGAGTACTTTGGTGGGTTTGGGGCTGGCGGACTGGGGCTTTGGTGGGCTTTCAGTTAGTGAAGCTTTGCACAGCTGAAATGTCCGATTGCTCCCAATTTTCCATCAAAAGTAAAAGTAAGGTGCAAAAACCTGAAATTACGCCTCCAGGGTTGTGTCCCTCCCAAAACCTCGTGCCCTCATGGTTCAGCCCAGTCAAATAAAATACTTGAGGGGCTGTTTTACGTGTGGGCAGTGACTCCCTGCGTCTGACACGGCAAAGCTGCCTGCCCGTCCTTGTGGCCAGTGTCTGAACTTCCACCATCCTGCTGCCTTTGCCGCCTTCAGGCTTTTATTTCATTTTCCCTGAGCTGTTGGTCATTTTGGTTTCAGCTGTGTCCTGGACCCTCCACGCCTGCTGGGGATGGGCACGTCCAAGCCGCAGCGACCTCCGGGCACGTGTGTGGTGGAGGTGCTGGGGTGAAACCACTGTCACTTTCCCTTTGGTCGGTGAGGACCAGCCCCACTGCCTCTGAGCCAGAGGTCGTGTTGCTGTGGGCTTTGCTGCGATGCTCCTTCCAGCTCTGCCATAACCATGTCCAGCTCTGCTGCTTCGCTCGCCTCCGTGCCTGCCCCATCTCACTGTGGGGCTGAGTCCCACCGCCCTTGCCTAGTCCCAATGCCTGGCTCTTCCCCTTCCCCCTCCCGAATCCCTCCTCAACAGGAGAAAGCTGCCTCATTGCTCCCAGCTCATTCCCATGCAAATGACACCTTAGGGGCTGTAATGAACTTTGGTTGTTTTTTATAACCTTTCATTTTGGGGCTGAAAGGTTAATGGTGCAAGGGCGGGGAGGGGGACTTGTCTCCCCAGTGGGTGGGAGCCATCGGGGCTGGCACAGCGAACAGCGGGCAGAGGTGCCGCTGATGGCTCTGCCCGGGGAGGGGTTTCTCCACAGCTTCGTGTCAGGACCCCCGAGGACAGTCCAAAGGTGTCAGGAGGGACTGAGGTGAGATGTGGCAAGTGTCCCAAAATGTCCCCAAGGGCGAGCTGCACGAGCAGCTGCAGGAGTTGCCCTTGCGGAGACTGGTGACTGCCTGCCCAGGGCTTGTCCCTGACCCCCTTGGCCTGCTGACACATGCATTTATTTCCACGGGGTTTTGGTCCTTGTTCTCCGGGGGACAAGGAGCTCATCATGCAGAGGAGTTTCTCCAAGATATTCCAGCGAGGAGTGGACTTGGCCCGAATCACTCTGCTCATGCGAAATGAGTTTCCCATGCCTGAGGAAGCCTCCGTGGGTTTCAGCCCATGTCCGTCAGCTGTCCCATGCCGTAAGTACCCTCATCCCACCCAGCATCCCCTTGCCCAGGGGTTGCTGGACCTGGTGCCCTGCCATGTCCCTCTGCGTTGGGTTGCTGGCTGCCTGGGAGGCTCTCAACAGCTGAAGCTCTTTGTTTTATTTTATTTCTTTATTTCTTAACGTTCCCTCTGTTTCACCACTGGAAAAGTTCAAAGTCTGCCAAGGTTGCTCCTTTATTACAGCCGGTGCCCTGGCAGGCAGCTACACTTGGAGCTGTCTCACCCTTTCTGCTCTACAAACCACTCTTTGCAGCTGGTTTATAGTAACATCTCTGTGACTTGTTAAATACTTGTAGCTGCGATTGCTGTGCCTTGTCCCAGGCTGTAGAAATGGAGTGAAGAGAGAACAGGGTTAGCGGGGAGCCCACCCCCTGCATTAGCCACTAGTACTCAGTCAGCTCACAAATGCTCCAGGACCAGATCCTGACCGCTCTGTGAACAGAAAGGCTTGTAGTCTGAGCCCTGGGAAGTCCGGGTGAAATTT